TTGGTGGTATTTTATCACCGAAACGATCCATTAAATTTTTCGTTAAACAGACAGGCTGAAAATAACCATAGACAAGAGGTTGAAGAGGAAACGACAAATATTCTATTGTGCAATTAATTGTTGATGACCAATTGCTAGATAAACAATCCCGTTCAGTAAATAGGTCATTTTGAATATAATTATAAAAACCAAGTTTACAAAATAATAATTTATAACAATCGATTGGATATTGTTTAGCAGACATGCCAATAGTTCGACTATAATAGATATCACGACTTGTACCAACACAACTAGGAATATCACGACCAACAATGTTAAAAACAGTACCATAGTTATATATGCACTCCCCATCACCACATGAAAAATATCCTGAATAACGACATGTTGTGTCTTCACAGGCAAATATTATCTTGTCTATACAGTTAAAAGCAGGTGGATCAGGATGATTAATATATCCCAGAAATTGTGGAACTTCATCTGTTCCATCTAAACAATCCCGACTAGTGAAACCATCACGATAAAATTCTAAAGGAATACATTGTGCTCCATTATGACAACGATATTCATTTTCATTATTACATTCCGTTACTTCCAATTCATGACAATATTTTTCATCTACACCAAAATCACCTTCAATACAATCAATTTTTCCATCACATATTTCACGCCAATCTAAACACATTGGTTCAGGACCACGGTAACATTCAGATAAATATGGATAACAAGTGTGTATCAATAGTTTTTTTTCATATTGTTTACGATTTTGAAATGATGAAACTACATAATCACCAAATGATTCAATAGAAATACTTAAATTAAATGTATATTGACAACTCGAACCAAATCATAATGATGAACAATTATTAAAAATAAAATTATCAAATTTTGCATCATTTTTAATGAGATATATAGAATATTGTTCAATTATATCAATTGATATTGACCATTGAAGAAGATCTTCACTAGTAATTCCTTGTAAACTTAAATTTTTAAATGTATAGCGATTTTCTATAGATCCTTCTATTTCATTTATATCATCATTTGATAATGAACGACGACAATAAGGTGTTAAATAATTTGTTTGATTCATGGGTACA